CCGGTGGCGCAGCGGTTGAGCACTGGGTTGCGAAGCTGCCCGCAGCCTCTGCGGCTCCAGTTCGATCCCCGGCTGCTCCCTGGCCACCGGAGGAGGGTCCCACATGGCGCGCAGACCTCTCCTGCCGCCCGCTGCTCCCCTCAGCAGTGTACTTCGGTCCTTCTGCCTGCTCTGCTCTCCGCTCTGGCTCTGGTGAATTCTCTCACCCTCCCGAGCTTCTGACTGTACCCAGTGCATGTATAAACAAAAAGGAAGGAAGGAAGGAAGGAAGGAAGGAAGGAAGGAAGGAAGGGAAGGAAGGAAGGAAGGAAGGAAGGAAGGAAGGAAGGAAGGAAGGAAGGAAGGAAGGAAGGAAGGAAGGAAGGAAGGAAGGAAGGAAGGAAGGAAGGAAGGAAGGAAGGAAGGAAGGAAGGAAGGAAGGAAGGAAGGAAGGAAGGAAGGAAGGAAGGAAGGAAGGAAGGAAGGAAAGAAAACATGCCTCTATATAAAAAAAAGAAAAGAAAAGAAAAGTAAGATCATCCAGAATATGTTGTTTTGGGATATATACTGAAAACAATTCTGTGGACAGGATATTGTCACATCACTCAGCACTCAGATCCATTTTTAATCTCTTGAGGAAACTTCATACATTTTCCATAAGGGCTGACCCAGTCTACATTCCCATTGACAATATAATAGGGTTCCTTTTTCTCCAGACTCTCACCAGCACTAGATGTTTGTGGGGTTTTTTTATATAGACTATTCTCACAGGGATGATGTGGTATCTCATTTTAGTTTTGATTTGCATTTCTGTAATGATAAGTAATAATGAACATATTTTTCATGTGCCTTTTGACCATCTGTTAGTTTTCCTTGAAGAACTGTCTATTTAGCTCTACTGACCATTTCTCAGGGTTATTTGTTTCTTTTATATGGAGTTGTATGAGTTTCTTAGCAGATCCTTATTAGCCCCTTGTTATATTTATGTTCACAGATATTTTCTCTCATTAAGTAGGGTGTCTTTTCATTTTAGATGTGATTTCTTTTGCTGTGTAGAAGCTTTACAGTTTGATGTAGTCCCGATTGTTTATATTCTCCTTTGTTTTCCTTGCTGCTGGAGACAAATCAGCAAACATATTTCTGAAGTTTATGTCATAGAGTGTTTTGCCTATGGCTTTTATCTTTCTTTTTGTTATGTGGTAAATTACATCAATTGATGTTGAACCATCCATGTGTCCCTGAAATAAATCCTACTTGGTTATATAATCCTTTTAATGCATTGTTGGATTTTTTTCCCTAAAATTTTATTGAGGATTTTTGCTTGTGCTCATTAGGGTAATTGGTCTGTACTCTTCTTTTTTGTACTGTCTTTATTTGGTTTTGGTATTAGAATATTGTGGTCCTCATAGAATTTATTTGGAAGTATTCCTTCTCTTTCAAATTTTGAAAGAATTCGAGGACGGGTATTAGTTCAACCTTTAAGGTTTTGTAGAATTCACTTGTGAAGATTTCTGGTCCTGCCCTTTTATGGGACACTTTTGATTACTCTGTCAATTTCTTTGCTTGTGTTTGGTTTGTTCAGGATTTCTATTTCTTCCCTATTCAGTCTCAGATTGCTGTGTAATTCTAAGAATCTGTCCATCTCTTCTAGGCATATATATCTGCGGTATCTGTTGTAAATTCTCCATAGTTTCTGATCCTGGGTTTTGGGTTTTCTCCCTTACTTTTTCATTTTCTAGCCAGATATATGTGTATTATGTTTATTTGTTCAAAGAACCAGCTTTGGTTTAATTAATTTTGGAACTATGTTTTATTTTAATATCCTTTTCATTTATTTTTGCTTTTATTTTTATTATTTCCTTTCTGCTATTGGCTTTTGGTTTTGTATGTTTCTTTTCTAGTTCCTCTAGTGGGTGATTAGGTTACTTATTTGAGTTCTGTTTCTCAAAGTGTGCCTGTATTGCTACATACTTCCTTCCTAGTACCTCTTTTGGTGTGTCCTATAAGTTCTGGAAGTGTTGTTGTCATTGCCATTTGCCTTGAGGTGTTTTTTGATTTCTACATTAACTCAGTAGTCTTCCAGTACTGTGTGTTCAGTCTCTATGTATTGGAGACTTTCCCCTGCTTTCCACTTGTAATTGAATTCTAGCTTGGTACTTTATGATCATCAGAAAAGATGCTTGGTATGATTTTAATCTACATGAATTTGTTATAGTTGCTTTATGACCCAATATGTGGTCAATCCTGGAGAATGGCCCATGTGCTCTTGAGAAGAATGTGTATTCAGCTGCTTTAGGGGTGTGGTGTTGTCTAATTCTCTGTTTAACTGTTACATTCCTATTTATTTTCTGTGTAGTTGATCTGTCCATTGGTGGGAGTGGGATGTTAAATCTCTTACTACAAATTTGTTTTTCCCAGTGTCTGTTTTCAGAGTTGATAGTAATTGCCTAATATAATATGATGATCCTACATTAAAGAGTAGGATTATACATTAGAGTATTATGTCTTCCTGACATGTTGTACCCTTAATCATAATAGTGCCCAACTCTGTCTTTTGTTAACTTTTTTTAGCTGGAAATCTACTTTTTCAGATAAACATATAGCAATGGATGTATATCAGTAAATGTATAGCAATATATGCACATCCCTGACTTTCTCTGGCTTCTATTTGCTTGTACAATTGCTTTCCAGCCCCTTTTCTGAGTCTATGCTTATCTTTGGAGTTCAGGCATGTTTTCAGGAGGCGGACGAGGATGGATTCTGTTTCCTAATCCAGTCAGATTATATGTGCCTTTTGATCATTGAGTTTAGTTCATGTATATTTTGAATGAATATTTTTATATTAAAGCCTGTTGTTAACATTTGTTGTGGTTCAATATATTTCCTTTTCTTTAGTTCTTTGTGTATGTTTTTCTCTCAGGTAAGATATGAGTGCTCCTTTCAATATTTCTTGGAAGGGGTGGAGGTTGTAATGTTTACAGACTTCTTCAGTTTCTCTTTGTCTGAGAAAGCCTTTATTTCTCCCTCATATCTGAAGGAGAGTTTTTTAGGAAAGAGTTTCTTGACTGCCAGGTTTTATCTTAGAATATTTGAATCATACCATTCCATTCTCTTCTTAACCATACTGTTTCTTCAGAGAAGTCTGATGTTATCCTGTTTGGGGTACCTTTATAGGTTTTCTGCTTCCACTTGCCAACTTCAATACTTTTTCTTTGTCTTGAGCTCTTGGAAGTTTCACTACTATATATCTTGGTATAGGCCTCATTTTGTTTTGGTATTTCAGGCATCTTTTAGCTTCCTGGATTTGTAAACTTAATTCCTTCCTTAGGTTCAGGAAGTTTTCTGCTATAATTACTTTAAATTCATTTTCTTTTCCCTTCTCTCTCTTTCCCTTCTGGTATTCCCATTATTCTTATGTTGACATTCCTCATGATGTTGGATAATCCTCAAAGTGTTTCTTCTTTTTTTAAGCTTTATTTGTCTTTCCTTTTCTTTTTTTTTTTTTTTTTTTTTTAGGATTTGTTTTACTTACTTATGCATGCAAGAACTGGGGTTTAGGCCTAAGGTGTGGAGGGTGAGAGGTTTCACCAGAGACAGAGTGGGGTGCAGAACAGGTGGATCTACTGAAATACACTGTTGAGGGGAGCAGCAGGCAAGATAGGAGAGGTCTGCTGTGCCATGTAGGTTAGCTTCCTGGTCAAGGATCCAACTCATGCTTCAGTGGCTGGTGATAGCTTGATAGTGTAGAGACTTTAACCCCTGCCCCACCAGGGAGGCCCTATTTCTCTTCCTTTTCTACCTGAATTCTTTGTTCATTCACCTCTTCAAGTACACTGATTGATTCTTCCATGTGGTTTATTCTTCTCCCATATCTTTCTCCTGAAATTTTCACATCTTTTATTGTTCTTTATATAGCCTGAATCTCAATATTTTTCTGATTTAGAAATTTAATTTGGTCTTCAGCTCATTGATTTTCTCATGACAATCATTTGCTTTTCTGTGTTTTTTTTTTCTGTAATTTTCCATTTCTTTAAGTATCTGTATTGTGTCAAGTTTGAACACTTTATCTGATAGGAAGAAAAGCTCTTCCAAGTCTTTGTAATTGGGTTCTAAAGATTTGTTTTCTCTCTGAATGTATTGTTCCTCTGAGGATTTATGTAACTATTGTGTTTTTCCTTATCCATATTATTATTACTGGCTTTTGGTACTGTACTTCTGTTGGGTGGGTTTCTGCTGGGCACAACTCCTTATACTGTTACAGGGCAGGAATGGGGAACCCCAGAACCCCCAAACCTGCCTGCTCTAAATAGTTCTGCCATCCGCCACATCAGCACAAAACATATATGACTTTAATGGAAAGGATCCTTAATACAATTAGTAAATAATACAAGAAAGACAAAGAATATAGTTTCTAAATCAAGCACCCAAAGTTACCCATCCCCTCATGGGTAAATGTCCACCCAAACAGGATTGGCCCAGAGTACGTCCAAAAGCTTGACACAAGTCTAAAGCCCCTTTTAGTGGGGACCCACAAAAAAGGATCAGAAAAAAACAGACAAGTATGGGAGGAAAAGAGCAAAATCAAAATCAAGATAAAAGCTGCCATTGTTAACCTCCCTATGGGTCTCTCACCCACATCTGTTTCAACCAGTCCATGACCAAAAGGCAAGCATAGTTTCTTCACGTGTCTCTCTGCTCCATGTGCCTCCTCCAGGCTCCTTCTGGCTCTCCAACCTGTTTCCTTCCTTCCTCAGTCCCTTCTCCAGCTTTTTCTCTTCTTTTTTTAGCTCCACCCTTCCTTGGGTGGGGCAGGGAACCTGGAACTTCCCCTTTTCCTGAGCACCACTCCGTTATAGTACCACACTGGCTTGGGCTCTTATCAAGAAATGTGCAATGCCTGGCAGCTCAACCACTGTGTCACCAGGGAGGCTGAAACTATTCTTTAGAAGAAAGAAAATGTTACTGGACCAGCAAATGTAAAGACAAATGCACTAACTCTGTGTATTATTTGCCCTCCTCAGACTTAGGGAAGAATGGAAACAGAGGCTGGAGAAAAGGTTGAGGATGATGGACAGCTCTGATGAGAAGGAAAAGCAGACAAACACCTTGGACTGAGAGTGGCTGCCTTGTTGACTTCAAAGAAAACAAGCCATCATGGTTACTCTTCAGGGAGAAAAAACAAACACCCAAGTCATGTTGAGGAACTAAACAGTGATTCTCTATTTACTCTCCCATTTGTGAGAGGATTTGCATGTGAAACCTCCCCCAGTGCTAATGGCAGTCATTATCCTACTCAATCCTCTCTACACAGAGAGGACAGGATGTCTGCCAATGGGATATTGAGCTTGGCTCATTTAATGTAAAAAGCTCTTGGAATTAACACTCACCATGTTTCAAAAGTCCATGTAATTTGATTTATTTCCACATTTTCTTATTATTTTGATATTTGAATGTTTTATCTAAGCTTTACAAGAGCAATTTCCTTGATGGGAATCTGGCTTCCTAAGTCTTTTGGAAAAACAGCCACACATTTTTTTATCCCATTTCCCCTTTTTTGGTGAAAACTGAAATGCAACTATTTACAAAAGCAAAGCAATTATTATAAAACAATTTATTAATAAATGTGGTTTGAAATTGAACTTTTTTTTTCTTCATATGAATTGGGGTTTATTTTTTCAAAACAAAGTTTAACTAGAAACATGCAGTGAAAGAAAGATAGTGTTTAATAAACTTGATTGTTACCCTCACTGTTGCGTGCATTATGTTAACTTTCTGAGCCTATCTTGGTTAACTCTCTGGTGCTATAGCAAGTATCAGCTCCAATTGTTGCGGACGCAGTCTGGAATGTATTCTCTTCTCAGACCCAGAGCATGAGCTTGAGGTCGGAGGGCTCCTCTAACCAGGGATTCTATTTTCTCCCTATGGTATTCTCTCTAGAATACAGAAGCACAAATTAAGGCCCTGGACACCAGGAACATAAGATAGCCAGAAGACCCGTGGGGGTAGATGTTAATTTGAGCCAGTGCAAAGGAGAGCTCCCAGTACTCATGGAACAGTTAATGGCATAAATGGATTCTCCCACAATACTAAAAGAACTCCTGTAGCTAAGAGAACAATGGTGTGGCAAGAAATTTGGAGAGATAATTCCATTTCACCACAGTTATGATATACAGAATACAATGCTACTAACTCATCAATTTGGATAAAAGAAATAAGTGACAAACTACAGCTGGGAAAATTTCAGCAATGTTTTGGGGAAAATATAATAGATTTTTTGTAAAACAGAGCATTTCTGGATTTAAATATCAGGATACCTCCCTTAGAAACTGATGTTTACAAAAAATGTTTGAGAATGATCCAAGAGGGAATATTCTGGGCAGAAAGGAAATGAGTGTGTGCAGAGGCAGAGTGAGTCTAGGTAAAAGAAATTACAAGCTTATCGGACAAGATGCCCCAAGTCCTGTTTGAAGAGGTGGAGTAAATCATGGACTGGCAAACCCCATCCAAACAGTTTGGTCCACCACACTGACCATGAGACACCATGATAGATGAAAGCTTTAGATCTTGACTAATGATTTTCTCACAATTTCTCCCAGAGGGAGAATGTAACCAATCTGTGCATGCCTGGGCATAGCCCAAACCAGAACAAGCTATGATGCTGAGCTATCCTCTCTGCCTCAAACACTTACTCTTTAAATATCTTCTCCTAACTTCCTTTAAGGACCCAGGCATTTATTCTTTCCCATACTGACTCCCTCATGCAAGAGTCTCTAATAAAGGCTTGCCAGATTCAACTAGATCTAGTGATCTCTGGAGAATTCTTTCCATTGAGGGCAAAGGACCCACTCATTGGTTTCATGGCCTATAATAAGAGGAGCAGTTGGACTGCAGGGCAGAGAGGACTGGTGTTCCACAGAGGAATGAGGAAATGTACATAAGTGACAGACAATGGAGAGAGGAGCTGTTTCCTAGGAGGATGAAGAGCTGGACAAAGGCTCCTTGAATCTGGTTAATGATTTTGGATTGATCCACAGAGGAACAGGAATTCACTGATAGGTTTTAGGAAGAGGAACAAACTGACTAAATATGCATTTTTAACTTATTCAAAATTTGTAATGAAGATACACGTGTACACGAGTTTTTATAAATACATAATCTGACTATATCATAGTTGCTGGTATGTTTTTATTAGTCATTTTAATATCCAAATATATATGGATGTATTTTCAGATTCCATATCCTTTTCTATTGTTGTCTTTGTCTTGTCTACCGTTAAGCTAATATTATGGAAATGCTCTAATATTATGGAAACACAATATAGGTTTTTAAAAAAATGCTATATGTATATCTATATTCTTTTATCCTTGCTACCATCCCTTGTGTGTCTTTGCCTTTTGCTCCCTCCTTCCTCTTAACCTCAATGTCTTCAGGATGTTTGTTGATGTCCAGTAGTTTTTGAAAGTGTTTTATTGTCTTTATATGACTATCTAATATTTGTTTTTATTATTGACTTGTTTTGCTGCATATAATTTTTTTCCAAATTCAGTCCATTTTTTGAAAATGACTGCATTTCATCCTTTCTTATGGTTGTGTAATATTCCATGGTATGTACGTAACCCATTTTTTCTTTTTCTCCAATTTTTCTCCACTTTATTAGGGTCAGCCACCATGGTATTTATGTATTTAAACATTTACTGTAAATTCTTACAGATATTTTTGACTTTGAACTATTGTTCATAATTAAGTTAATTAGGCACATGGTTTGTATTTTATAAAAACCACTTTAGGGGCCTCCCTAATGGCACAAGGGATTGGGATGTAGCCCTTTGAAGCTATCCATGGCCACTGCAGCACTAGTTCCATCCCTGGCCAGGGAGCTGACCCACATGATGCAGCAAGAACTGGGGTACAGGCCAAAGGTGCGGGAGGGTGAGAGAATTCACCAGAGACAGAGCAGGGAGCAGAAAAGGCGAAGGACTGAAGTACACTGCTGAAGGGAGCAGTGGGCATGACAGGAGAGGTCCGAGGACATCTTCACAGTGCTGTGCTCAATCCACTGCACCACCAGGGAGGCTCTACCATTCATGTAGTCTTTAAGGAAGAGATCAGAAAATTACTTAAATGTTTTACTGATGAGATTCTAGTAAGATGAGATTCTAGTAAGATGAGCAAATGTTTTATGTTTTACTAATGAGATTCTACTAAGAAATCCCTGAAAGAGCAATAAGCTGTGGTTACTGGAAGTCTCAGCATACTGGCAAGATATGATTGCAAAGTATTTAACAGAGAGCACAAATTTTGTTTTCTTAAGAGGAGCTAAGCACTATAGATGTCATTCAGTTGACTATGAGATTGCCTGCTGTGAGTGTTGCACCCAAACTCCAGGTCACTCCTTTTTGCTATTGTTTTGGATAAGCTTCCATTTTCATAGCATGTCCCTGTCCTCCAACTACACAGGTAGCTGCTAAGCCATACTGGCCTCCATCCTTCCATAGTCTGTTAGCAGTTGTCATAGCCAACCAGCAACCAATGGTCCCAAACAGGTGTCCCAGGGGCAGCAAGCCACCCCAGTTGTTAAACTTTCCCAGTGGAGCCAATACAACCTTGTTTTTTCTACCCATGTAGTTTTGTGCAAACCAGTCAGAATCCACAGCTTTAAAATTTGTCAAAATCTCATACTATAGACTTAGGCACACAGCAGGGGAGGAGTCAAAACAGGGGGTCAAAACAGAACTATGGGTAATGGGTGATGTGGTAGTGGGAGATTTATAGGAACTGTAAGGTCAGTGCAAGGGGCCTGGTGAAGGCCCCAGGCCATGAGCACAAGGAGGGGCCTTGAAATCACAGAGAGAATTCTACCTTTGCCTCAGCTCCTGGAAACAGAGGCTTCCACCCAACACAAACAGGACATCAACCAGAAACTACAAAACAACAACAACAACTTTGGTTCCGCATATCCAGTTTCCAGCCTAACCTTTCCTTACCCTATAAAGGACATCTTTTTTTTTTTTTTTAAGATTTTTATTTTATTTATACAAATGCTGGGGTACAGGCCAGATGGCAGGAGGGTGAAAGGATTCACCAGAGACAGAGAGGGGAACAGAACAGGCAGACTGACGAAATACACTGCTGAAGGGAGCAGCAGGCGAGACAGGAAAGGCCTGTCGTGCCATGTGGGACTCTCGCCGGCAGGCCAGGATCAAACCCATGCTGCAGAGGCTGCAAACAGATTCACAGTGCAGCACTCAACCGCTTGCGCCACCAGGGAGGCCCTAAAGGACATCTTCCCCCCACAACGAGAGTGACTTCTCTGACCCCCGTGGGTGGGGGTAGGTGAACCTCGCCTGGAAGCGCAGTGAAGTTCCTGCCTGTGAGAAACTTAGCCTGGCTCTCCTTCTCTACACCACACCAATCCTTTCATCTTGGTGCCAAAACCCAGGATTGAACCAGGGATCTTTCCCCTGCACCAACCTTACGGGAACTACATCTGAGAGAAGAAATCAAATATTGTACAAAAATGAACAACAATGTAAGAAAATAAAAAAATAAAATTTGCCAAAATCTGCCAGAGAAGTCTTCATGAAATTCAAAAGCATCAATATCATTCATTGTTAATTTGGCCTTTTCTAGAATTTTTGGAGGAGCATATGTTGGTTCAAGTAAAAGCTGACCTTTTGGATCCTGAGACACATACACAAAATCTCTTAAATATGCCTCTGGTTTATAACCCATGGCCAGAGCTTTTTCTTCTGCCAAAATCAGTATTGCAGAAGCATCATCAGTCAGGAAAGAAGAATTTGCAGTTGTCACTGTGCCATAGGGCTTGATGAATAAAGCTTTTAGTTTGGCCATCTGCTGCAGTGAGGAAGGATGAAAGCCATTATCTTTCATAACTGTATCTTTTCCTGGTACTTTGAAGAGTACAAAATCAGAAAGAGTCCTTCATTCTGTGCCTTCTGGGCCAGGCTGTGCCAGTACAGCCCGTATTCATCCTGTGGGGATGGAAAAACAGAAAAGGCAGCAGCCAGTCTGTGTGCAGAGTGACCCATGTTCTTATTGCTGGAGAACTCAACTACTGCAGGGAATTCAGGAGACAGGAAATTCAGTCTGAACTTAGAGATTAAAGACAGCAGTTTACCGGAGAGATCAGTTGCTGTCTGAGCAATTATTGAGTTCAATTATTTTCCTCATTTTCCATGAATGACATCAACTGTACATCACCTGCCACAACCATATCACCACGGCCAGAAACAATCAAGCCAACACTTGAGATCATGGTGTGGTTTGCAGAGATGCCAGCCACAGTGACAGTGTGAGCTGGAGTATAGACAGAAAAGCCTGCTTCGAGGGCAACCTTTGTAGCCACATTGCTTGTTTTTACTTCCTGCATAACTGCCAAAGATGATATAATCAACAATGTCCTTTGGGACACTCATCTGATGCAACAGACCTGAAAGTGCTTCTCTAGCCACATCATGTGGCATCAGGTCTTTGTATGAAGTGCCTGACAGCAAAGATGAAGTGTGGACACCATCCATCACCACACTGGTCCTCGTGTTGGGTGGGTTAAGGTTTTCTTTGATATGATCTGGACAGGTGGGACAGCTCCTAGATGAGAAGAGTTTGGCGATCTTATAAAAAAGGGCCCATTTTGATACAGTGGGAAAACTTTTAAAAGTGCAAGTCAAAAGATGGAAGTCATTCTGAAATCTCAGTTCCAATCCTCAGGGCTCTGGCTGTGGGCACAGTTTGGGTCCAAGGGACAAGACTTGTTGGGATTCACTCATTTTGATACATTCATCCATTGAAGGAGATTTAGGCAGCGTCTGTAACTGGGTGCTGAAGCCAAAGACTGTTACAGATGGTGCTCTCTGGAGGGGGTGCTAGTGAGGATTGATAGCCCCAGGCAAAATACGAAGTATTGGTGGGAATGGAGACACTGATAATAAATATAAAGGACTGCAGAAGCAGCCCCTGGGATTTCACCATTTGGGATTTTAGCATTTTTAGATCTTCAATGATTCTGGGGTCAGCCATTTCTGCCCCCACCATGCTGATCTTCCAGAAGGCTATCGTGAGCCTCTGAAGGACATGGAAAGGCTTCCAGCAAACAACCTCAGAAAAGAAAAGTTTGGAGGTTTTGTAGGTAGCTGAGTGAGTGAAACCGTTCCCAGCTTTGCTTTGCTGCTGTTATAGCCTAGAAGGGAAGGAGAAGACCCAGAAATGGGTGCCTTGCTGAGTGTGTGAGTATGGGCTGTTTGTCAGGTTGTTCCACTGCTGCAGCTGCTGTTTCCAAGGTTGCTTGTCAGGTGCTGTGCTGGCACATCTTTGCAGGTCCAGTGAGCATCTCCTGTTGTCTTCTGAATTGGATGCCGGCCTATTTTCTGGCTGCTATATGCTTCAGGCTTTCAGTGGTGGGAAGACACTTCCATGAAGAAGTCTTCTGTTTAGGACTTTAAAACACTGGACACTACTTTGGGGGAGGTACACGGCCATTAGTGGCTTCAGTGACTCTTGGTTTTCCCTTGTTTGTTAAATAAATTCCATTATTGTTGTTCTATGAACCTGAGTAGTCTTGCAATTGTGTGCATGGGTGAAGAACTCAGACAGCGATCGTAAACTATTTGGGCAGTGTCCTTGGCCAGTTTCAGTGCCCCTTGCTGCCCTGTATCACTTCCATGTCCCAACTATGTAAATAAGGCTGATTTAAAAATTATAGAACACATGAGGTCTTTGGTTGAAGGTTTCATATTCTATTGATGTAAGAGTGGTATTGTTGGTTTGTATGGCATTTCTAATATTTATTTTTAAAGGTAAATCCAGATTTACCTAGCCACCAACTACATAATAGGGCTCCTTTTCCTTGGCATCCTCTCCAACACTTGTTATTCGGGGTCTTTTTGATATGAGCTTTTTCATGTGTGAAGCGGCATCATATTTAGCTTTAAATTTGTATCTCTCTTATTGGAAATGATGATGGACATTTTTTTTCATTGCCTTTCTGGGTATCCTCTTCAGTGTATTGGGTGTTCATATCTGCTGCCCATTTGTTAATTGGGTATTTTTTTTTTAAATATTAAATTTTTTTTATATTCCCCCATACAATTGCAAACGCCCCATTCTGACCCCAATCCTTCCCCTCCCGCCCCCTACCCGCCAAAAAGTGTCTCTGGTTCATAGTTTTTTTGTTGATTTTGATTTTCACTTTCTTATATTCATTTTCCTGGTCCCTTATTTAAGTTTTCTAGATTCCTGCTATGAGTGAGACCATCCGGTATTTTTCTTTTTCTTTTTGGCTTATTTCGCTGAGCATGATCCCTTCCAGTGCCATCCATGTTGCTGCAAATTGCATGTGTTTATCTTTTTTGAATGCTGAGTAATATTCCATGGTATATATGGACCACATCTTCTTGATCCAGTCATCTATTTTTGGGCATTTGGGTTGTTTCCAAAGCTTAGCTATTGTAAACAGTGCTGCTATAAACATAGGAGTGCAGGTGCTCTTTGGAATTGATGTTTCTGTGTCCTTTGGGTAAATACCTAGGAGTGGAATTGCTGGATCATATGGAAGCTCTATGTTTAGTAGGTCCAGAAATCTCCACACAGCTCTCCATAGTGGTTGGACCAGTTTGCACTCCCACCAACAGTGCACAAGAGTTCCTTTTTCTCCACATCCTCGCCAACATTTGTTGTTGCTAGTTTTTTTAATATGTGCCATTCTCACTGGTGTGAGATGGTATCTCATGGTAGTTTTGATTTGCATTTCCCTGATTACAAGTGATGTTGAACATTTTTTCATATGTCTGTTGGCCATTTGCATTTCCTCTTCAGAGAAGTTTCTTTTTAGCTCTTCTGCCCATTTTTTGACTGGATTATTTTCTTTGTTGTTGCTGAGTCTCATCAGCTCTTTGCAGATTTTTGTGATCAGTCCCTTATCATTAGTGTTGGGTGCAAAAATGTTCTCCCAGTGGTGGGTTTCTCTTTGTTTTTGTTATTGTCTCTTTTGCTGTGCAGAAGCTCTTTAATTTGATGTAGTCCCAGCTGTTTATCTTTGTCTTCACTATCACTGCTTTGGGTGATGTGTCTGTAAAGATGTCTTTGATGTGCAAATCCCGTAGTGTTTCGCCTATATTTCCTTCTATGTATTTTATGGTTTCAGGTCTTATGTCTAGTTCTTTAATCCATTTTGAGTTGATTTTTGTGTATGGTGTGAGGTAGTGTGTCAAGCTTCATTCTTTTGCATGTAGCGACCCAGTTTTCCCAGCACCATTTATTGAACAAACTTTCTTTGCTCCAATGCATAGTCTTTGCTCCTTTGTCAAAGATTAGTTGACCATAAATCTGTGGGTTTATTTCTGGATTTTCTATTCGATTCCATTGGTCTGTATGTCTGTTCTTGTTCCAATACCATGCAGTTTTGATGATTATGGCTTTGTAGTATAGTTTGAAGTCTGGGAGTGTGATGCCTCCATTTCTTCTTTTTTTTTCAGTAGAGCTTTGGCTATTCGGGGTTTTTGGTGATTCCATATGAATTTCATCAATAATTGTTCTATTTCTTTGAAGAATGCCATTGAGATTTTGATTGGAATAGCATTGAATCTGTATATTGCTTTTGGTAGGATGGCCATTTTAATAATGTTTATTCTTCCAATCCATGAGCAGGGGATGTCTTTCCATTTCTTTGTGTCTTCTTCTATTTCTTTTAACAGTGTTTTATAGTTTTCTTTGTATAGGTCCTTTACCTCTTTTGTTAGATTTATTCCCAAATATTTGATTTTTTTGTTTCGATAATAAAAGGGTGGTTTTTTTTGATTTCTTCTTCTTCAGATTTATTGTTTGTGTATAGGAAGGCTACTGACTTTTGCGTGTTGATTTTGTATCCTGCCACTTTACTGAATTGATTGATGAGTTGAATTAGTTTTTCTGTGGAGATTTTGGGGTTCTCTATGTATATTATCATATCATCTGCAAATAGTGATAGTTTGACTTCTTCTTTTCCTATTTGGATTCCTTGGATGTCTTTCTCTTGTCTTATTGCTCTGGCTAGGACTTCCAGTATTATATTGAAAAGCAGTGGTGAGAGTGGACATCCTTGTCTTGTTCCAGATCTTAATGGAATTGCTTTCAGCTTTTCACCATTGAGAATGATACTGGCTGTTGGCTTGTCATAGATGGCCTTTATGATGTTGAGGTATGTTCCTTGTATCCCAAGAATTTCAAGGGCTTTTATCATGAATGGGTGTTGCACTTTGTCGAAAGCTTTCTCAGCATCTATTGATATTATCATATGGTTTTTATATTTCTTTTTGTTGATGTGTTGGATAACGTTGATTGATTTTCGGATGTTAAACCATCCTTGTGCCCCTGGAATGAATCCACTTGGTCGTGGTGAATTATCTTATGGATACATTGTTGGATTCTGATAGCTAAAATTTTATTGAGGATTTTTGCATCGGTGTTCATTAGGGAGATTGGCCTATAGTTTTCCTTTTTTGTGTTGTCCTTATTCGGTTTTGGTATTAGTGTAATATTGGCTTCATAGAACGTGTTTGGTATTGTCCCTTCCTTCTCAATTTTTTGGAAGAGTTTGTGAAGGATAGGCACTAATTCGTCTCTGAATGTTTGGTAGAATTCATTTGTAAATCCATCAGGTCCTGGGCTTTTGTTTTTGGGGAGGTTTTTAATTACCATTTCAATTTCGCTGCTTGTAATTGGTCTGTTTAGGTGTTCTATTCTTCTTTATCTAGCTTTGGGTGATTGTAGAGTTGTAGGAATTTGTCCATCTCCTCTAGATTGTTGAACTTTTCCATATAACTGTTCATAGTAGTTACTGATTATTCTTTTGATTTCTGCTGTGTCCGTTGTGATTTCTCCTCTTTCATTTATGATTCTTGTATTTGTGCTTTCTCCCTTTTTCCTTTGTGAGCCTGGCTAGGGGTTTGTCTATTTTATTTATTTTTTCAAAGAACCAGCTCTTGGTTTCATTGATCTTTTGGATTGTTTTTTTAGTTTCAATTTCATTTATTTCTGCTTTGGTTTTTATTATTTCTTTTCTTCTACTGGATTTGGGGTTTTTTTGTTGTTCTTTTTCTAGATCTTTGAGCTTCGAGATTAGGTTGTTTCTTTGAGTTCTTTCTTTGTTTTTTTGATGTGAGCTTCTATTGCTATATATTTTCCTCTTATTACTGCTTTTGCTGCATCCCATACATTTAGGATATTGGTGTCCTCCTTGTCATTCAATTCAAAGAATTTTTTAATTTCTTCTTTGATCTCCTCATTAGTCCAGTGGTCTTCCAGTAGTGTGGCTTTTAATCTCCATGAGGTAGGATAGTTCCTTGCCTTCTTTTATGATTTATTTCTAGTTTGATGCCTTCGTGGTCAGAAAAGATGGTTGGTATGATTTCAATCTTGGTGTATCTGTTGATGTTTGTCTTGTGCCCCAGTATGTGATCGATCCTGGAGAATGATCCGTGTGCGCTTGAGAAAAATGTGTACTCCGTTTTTTTGGGTTTAGTGTTCTATAGATGTCTGTTAAGCCCAAATGCTCTAGGTCCTTATTTAGAGCTTTAGTTTCTTTACTTATTTTTTGTCTTGTTGATCTATCCATTGTTGATAGTGGTGTGTTGAAGTCTCCCACTACATATGTGTTTCTCTGATGTCTGTTTTCAGAGAGGACAACAGTTGTCTGATATATTTTGGTGCTCCTTCGTTTGGTGAGTATATGTTAATGAGTGTTATTTCTTCTTGAAGTATTGTCCCTTAATCATAATGTAGTGACCATTGGGGTCTCTTTTTATTTTTTGAGTTTGAAGTCTGTTTTATCTGATATAAGTATAGCTGTTCCTGCTTTCTTTTTTGGCCCATTTGCTTGTAGGATTGTTTTCCATCCTTTGACTTTGAGCCTATTTTTATCTTTTGTAGCTAAATGTGTTTCCTGGAGACAGCAAAAGGTTGGGTTTTGTTTCTTAATCCAGGCTGCAACTCTGTGTCTTTTTATTGAAGAGTTTAGTCCATTTACATTTAGAGTTAATATTGATATGTTAGCATCTGTA